ACCCAGGGCATGTCTCCATCTCATACTCTGCTTTTCTTTTTACTGTTGTAACAACGACAGGAAGTGTCTTCAAGGGAAGGACAAATTTTCACCTGGGACACATTTTTAAAACTAGTAACAAAAACTAACGTTTTCATCAAGACAGATTTTAAAAGTATTATCACATGAAAGGATCATTTATAAGACAGAAATAGTTCTACACAGTCGTGTAAACTTACAAGATTTAGAAAGGCAAGGGGAAAGGGCAACTCACGACTCACACTTCCCTGCGAAGTGCCTGGTGATGCACCTCCTCCCTTAACACCATCGTCCTGACCAAATGCAACTGCAGAGGTGAGGTGCCAACTGCTTTCCAAGTTGGGAATGGATTCGACCAGAGTACACACCATAAAAGAAAAGAAGGGACTCTGAAACAGCATGTAAATTTGTCACATAGTCACAGGAAGTTAGCAAAGAAATGGAAAGAATGATTTAAAAAAGAAAAACAACTTGTTGTAGCCAAGTCTTTCAGAAAAAGGGAGTCAAAACAGAGAATCGCTTTGATTTTAATTACGAGAATTGTGAAATCCACAATATGGAGATACTTTTTATTCTCGTTCCTACAACTAAGTTTAATTCACCAGTTTTCACAGGAACAATATTGTTCTATATATACGACTACTCCACTAAGAGCCACCCAGGCCACCACCCACCACAAGAGGACTGGCCAGTTAGTCCTACAATATGGATTCACTTAGTCACACATGGAGTGGACTGATTGAACTGATGCTGCCTTGCCTGACCTAGAAATCCCCAGGAGAAAGTCAAAGTGCCCTCTATCAAATCCTCAGTTAGGGATGCCAGTAGACAAATATACCCTTCTATACCTGGAGACATCCATATTCTTCCTTTAAAAAAATATATATATGTATATATATATAAGGGAATGAATCAATAAATATCTTAAAAACTGCATTGCTGTAACAGTTAAGAGATGTACTGATGATATGAACAGTATGTTTCTATGGATTCAAGATAAACAAAGAGAATATTCAATAGCATCCTCTACACTTTATAATCAAGACATAAGAATACTGTTTGTCACTGATGTTTCTATAGCCAAAATAAATGGCTGGCTAACAACTGTAAAAAATGTGTAAATAAAGTAAAACATAACAACTTAGAATTCATCAGACTTTCCTCCAATGTTTTTGATGGTGTGAACATCATCTTGTTACATACAGCACACACAAAGGACATTTTGCATAAAAATTACATAGAACTAACATCAAGGTTCGTATTACATTAAATTTTCTCACAACTCATAGATATATAAGGTGAGTTTTATACTATAAACATATGATAAAGAGTATGTCTAAGTAAGTTGAAAGCACTAGAAAAATTATAAATCAAAGGCTAGTCAAGCATAAAAAGGAATTTGAAAATTAAAATGTACAAAAAAATTAAAAGGCTTAATTACAAATTATTCTTTTCTGTAACTCACTCCCCCAATATGATTTTATTCATTTGAGATACAAAAGATAAATGAACATAATACTTCTGCACTCATTTCATTAATAACACTAAAAAATCATGCTGTAATTTAAGATATATATTAGGTTTTTAGAGGGCCAAATTATGTCATCAGTAAACACAGTACTACACATCTCACCCCTAAGGTCAGGCCTAAAAATCCTTCTCAAGTGCTCTGACCACTTTAGGTCAGCATCCAACTACCTTAAACACCTGTAGAACCAAACCATAATAAATATCTACACTGTTTTACTGTTGTTGATGTGTTGTTTTCAAATCATTTTAAAATTTACTGATTAAATAAAGCCATATTTTGTCCTCTCACAAATTCCTAAGGGAAAACTAGGTCCAAAATTCCAAACGATGCCTGGTTCTCTGTAACTGTCAACTTCACTTTCCAGTTAAAAGAATATGTTTGCAGGGTGTTACGGTTCAGTTTTCTGTCTCATGATCGACACTGAGAACAGTGACATTCTCCCACTTCAAACAGAAGGGACAAACAAGCCCACCCTCGGCCTTCAATGTAACAAATTAACTCCCATGAAAATTAACAAAAATTCTTTCTTTACTTCATCAAGCACTGGAATTTAGACACTAACTTTAAGGACGCCAATGCTTGAATTAAAGGCAGAGAATTCAAATTACAATGACCACACACAAGTCTGAATGGTGATATTAATAGGGCAACCACAGTCATAAACCCTAGTTACAAGTTCTAAACCTGGCCGTGCAAATCATTTATCCTGGTCATTATCACTATTTTTTAGTCTTACAGACTTTTTACCTACTGTGTGTTTCTCAAAATAATAAAAATTAAATAAAGCAGCGTAAAAGCAAACTACTTTGAGAAGGAAGTCATATGAACCACACGAACTCATGGGAAAATTAGAAGACCCACATCATTCCTACATCCAACAACAGTTTGTCAACAGAGGCTCAATCCAACTAACACCAAAATGTGTACCTCTCAATTTCAGCAGTAATTTGAGAATAAATTCTCATTACTCTTACAGCTCACGAAGAAAAAAACGGTTCAAAAGTATCCGAGTAAATGTTGCCTTTGTAAGTACATTTTACCATAACCTCCAAGTTTGAATGGGAATATTAACAGGCGTTGGGCTCTACTGCTAAACCCTGGTGAGCTTTTCAACAAAGTTATCTGTTTCATGTAAACATTTCTATTAACGAATGCTTTCAAAATGGATCTATTTTAATTACCCACACAGCAATAAAATCAAAGCTATGAATTTTTAAATGCCAGTAGCCAGCAAAACACTTTACAAGGCACCCTTATGGTTTTTAAATGAAAAACTGGAAAGTGTATTAAAAGATAATTAAAATTGGATGAAATAAACAAACAATTAAATTAGCTACAAATGACACCAGATATTGCAGAAGCAGGGTCTGCACAGTGTATTTTGCTTCTCTGAGGGCATCACCATGAAAGAACCGTTAGGGGAGAACCACACCATGCGTACTTGGCAACACAGACAGTACAAAACTGCCCAGAACCAGAAAGTGAGCAGGAAAAAGTCCCCTGGCAGCTAAAGAATATGGTAAAATTAATGTGCTAAAAAAAAATCATACACTCTACTAATGGCTCATTCCTTCTTCTTCTGCACCAGTTCTAAAAGCTTGGACCACCCTGCCCTGCCCCAGTCCACAGCTTATTAGAAGCACGAAAATGAGGAGAGAAACTGAGGTATTTATATAAATTATCACACCAACAGCAGCAAAAAGTAACAATTAACAGAAAAGGAAAACCAAAAAATAAAAACAGCAGTCAAGAACCCCAAAAGCTATAAATATACCTACATGTGCCAAGACTTTCTGAGGCATATCATGCCACAGTGTAATAATTTATAAATTATGACATTGAATTATATTCAAAATGCTTATTAATAACAGAGGAAATTAATGTAATATTTTAAGTTTCCCAAAAAATACTTAAATAGGGGAAAAAATCTTGGAGTTATACAAAAGTTTACTTTGTGGGGATCCATTTACATAAACCACCACTCCTTGGGGAATGTTACAACTGTATTTACAGATGTTGCTGATTATGAAATCAAGTGAACTCTGCACGGCAGCCTTCCAGCAAACGCCTGGGCGCTCCAGCTCACCCTGCACACACTCCCAGGGAGGAGCTGCTCAGCAAGATGCGACTGAAGCGCTAAAAAAATCTACAGACCAAACACTGTGTGCAGCCTGAATCCAATTCAAAGGAGCCCAGGGCTAGCCCTGCACCTGAACACTAACTATGCTTTACATTTGGCTTTACATTTAATTTGCACTAGGGTCTTGTGAGGCAAGTACTATCCCATGTTATAGGAATCTGAGACTCAGTGGTCAATGACTAGCTCAAAGTCATGGCTGGTGGTGGAGTAGCCAAGGTCCTCTAGGCCTATACACTGTACACTATCATGCCGTGACAAATTTGCCAAAAATTTAATTGTATAATTCATCTTTACAAGATGCAACAGATTAAAAATATTAATCATCTACCGAATCCCACTATCAGAAGCATTCACTAGTGGCAATCTTCATTTTCCAACGGGTATTCCTGGGGACACCACACCCAGAGTGTAACAGGTATTAGCGGCTGTGGAAGGAGAGGGGGTTGTGTCGATGTACATGGAAAGTGCTGGTTTCTTTTGTTAATGTATTCCTCAGGATCTTTAATGTACTCAGAGTCTTTAATGTACTCACAGAGTCTTTGGCTCTGTGACCCTCCAAGGTTAGCAGGAGGCTGGGTATGAGCAGGTGGAAGATGGGCCCCAGGGAGGAGAGCAGAAGCACCCCCACCAGATGTCCTGTTCTCCAGCGGGACTGTCAGAGCTTGATTGGATGGCAACGCCATGTTTGCAAGAGCGAGGAAGCATGCAAGAACTCTTAAGAAGCCTCTGCTTCATTTGTAGGAATTTTTGTCGTTATTTTCTCTGTAGTATTACAAAACGCACATTTTTGTGAACTATTCTTAATACTAAAAATGAATCATACAGTGACAATACTGGAAAAAGCTGCCCAAATAGTCTCTGTAATATTCTTGAATCCCAAGCCAAGAGATATAATGGAAAAGAATCTTAATAACCATTTAATCAATTTTTTCAGTTATTACTGCCAAAAAACAATCAACAATAAAGTTTTAGTAGCTATTAGACTCAGATGGAAATGAGCTTTACTATAAAAAGCAACAAATTACCAGTCACAACTACAAAGTCATTTGAGTCCACTTAAATAACATCAATCTGATCCATTGTGCCCCCTAATAAACTCTACAGGAATTTATACTCTCATTTGCATAGTTTCCATATTTATTCAAACAAACCTTATACTGTCAGCTCAATTCAAAGTAAAGAACAAAAATACATCAACATCAGGATTCCTAATACTCTATCTCCTACTCTGCTAGCCAGGCTGGTACAATACACCTGTGAAAGGAAATACTGAAAGACATGAATATTAGATGAACTACCCACAGTACTCACGCATCATTGGAGCAAGTCATAAATTCTCCCTTTATTTTGGGATGCCAGGAGCCAGTATGAAGCATTGCTGTATGGCCCTTAAAGAAATAGAAGGGAAAAAAATACTTAACAAGTTTGAAAAATGTTTAAAACTTTTTAGTATTCCCCAAAGCACACTATTTCAATAACAAGCTGATATTATTTTATCTCAGTTTCTTAAGATGTTATTTATTTTTAGAGAGAAGGGAGGAGAAGGATAAAAAGAGGGAGAGATATGAGGAAGAAACATCTATCAGTCACCTCTTGAAAGCACCCCAACCAGGGATGAACCTGCACCCCAATCAGGTACCCTGATCGGGTATCAAACAGGTGACCTTTTGCTTTACGGGATGACACCCAACCAACTGAGCCACACTGGTCAGGGTTTTAGCTCAGCTTTATTTCGCTTTGTTTAGTTCACTGTGTAAGGTGCCTGCCCCAGCCCCACTGCCCATGAAGTGGCTCGGTGCTTACACATGACAGGTGCTCCATAAGGAAGGAAGTGGAGGGGACAATGACTGCCTCGCTTTAAGAAAAGAGAGAGAAACAGGCCCTTCTTTAGAGATTCTTTTCTAAATGAAAAGGAATTTAAAAGAATAGAAAGTATTTATAAATAATCAAGGCAACACAAGAGGTTGGGGGTAAAAATAATCCATGCTTCTTAAAAATGTGTCAACAATCTTGATTCTATTATACATCTGAGAGAATAAACATGTGAGGCAAGGGAAGACATCTTTAAAATTATTCAGGAAGATAGACCTTACTAAGCATAACACAAATATATTATAAAAACACTTTAATTAAAACAAAGTGATGCTGGTATGAGAACTGACATAAATGCACCACATCATTCACAGGGTGCCTATCAAACATCAACACACACACACACGCACACACACACTTTCCTCCTAGGCTCCAAAGTCAGCTGGAGCATTCTCCTACAGTGAGGTTCAGAAGGGGCAGAAAAGAGTCTAATATTATTAGTGTAATAATGGTGAGGTCTCTTATTCTGAAAGGGTTAAAAATGAAGCTATACTACAAGAAGCAAACTGTGCACATTAGAAGGAAAATAACTGTGGTTCCATGGAAAGAATAAACTGGAACTGCAGTGCCCACATGTGGGCCTGGAGACCATTTCTCATCCAAGTTGCCTACGATGCCTCAAGTAGCAGCTGGCCAACTCCTGACATTCTGCTCATGTTCCCAGGATGCAAACAGGGACCAGAACCTCTTCTGCAGTAGGGAGGATGGGTCATATTTACTTAGAGGGCCAGGCAATACTTATTTAAGTAAGTGTAATGTAAATTGAGATGGAAGGAATGAGAAGAAGCCAGTCATGCAGAAGCAGAAAAGAGAGCTTTCCAACAGATGGAAAAGCATAGGAGAAGGTCCTGATGCGGGAAAAGAGCTGGACGCATCGCAGGAAATGAAAGGCGGCTAGTGGACTGTTGCATGTTGTGCAAGAGGGAGCACAAAATAAGTGGATATGCAGGGACACAGGAGTCAGAACACGTAAGTTGTAGTCTGTAAAGAGGTTAGAAAACCAACAGAGGGGTTTTAGGAAGTATATTTTAAAGGACTCTATGGATTGCTAAAAGAGGCAAGAGTACATGTAGAAAAGCTAGCGACAGATTTGTTACAGTACACAATAATTTGATGTAGAGGTAGGAGAGAATGTTGACCCATGTAATAGTAGTGGTAAAAAGAAGAAAGTGGATAGATGTGGGATGCACCGTATTTTGCTGTCTATAATGCACATTTTTTACCCAAATTTTTGAGGGAAAAATAAGGATGCACGTTATACATGGGTAATGCCTGAAATACTTGTATTTGTTCTTATGTTTTATGATTTGTTACACAAAATTTCTTGTACCATAATATGTTCAAAAATAAATGTTAAAATTCTTTTATAATACAAAAAAAACCCCAAGTATCTAAATACAAATAAATAATTGAATTAAAAATTGAAAGGAACAATTTTCTTCCTGCAAGTCTGGGCCAAAAATGTGGGTGCACATTATACAAGGGAGCACATTATGTGTGGCAAAACAAGGTACTTTGGATCGAACACACAAGACTATTTAGTGAACAGGCATCTCAGTGGGGCTCCTATAAACCTGGGTGGGGAGAGAGAAAGGGTTCTGGGGTTATGGTTGTTGGATTGTTTAAGAATTACTCCCGGACTTCCACCAAGATGGAGGTATAGGTGGATGTGCCGTGCCTTCTCACACAACCAAGTTTAGGGACAACTAAATATTAGCATCAGAAAACACAACCAGAACACGGAAAATTGAACTTTTCGGAAGTCCGTTAACAACAAATTCTTCAGCCCGACCGGTAAGGGGCGAAACCGGAGTCTGGTGAGGGGTTGCACAGGAGGACTCCGGTCGGACGGACCCAGGCGCGGAATGCAGATGCGCGAATCCAGACGCACGGGTTCCAAACGCAGGATTGGACCTAGTGAGCGACTGAGCAACCCACCAGCGTCACAACCCAGCGACCTGGGAGTCCAAGGCACCGCTTCTCCCACTTAAAGGGCCAGAACAGACCAAAAATGTCGCAGGAAGACCTCAAAGCCCCAGAGATAAATCTAAGCGATGAAGAAATAGCAAAACTCTCAGACGCACAGTTTAAAACACTGGTCATCAGGATCCTCACAGATCTGGTTGATTATAGCCACAAATTAGAGAAACATATGAAGGCTAAACTAATGGAAATGAATGGAATTCCACAGGAAACCCATAGAGATGAAAAGGAAACTGGGACTCAAATCCATGGAGTGGACCAGAAGAAAGCAAATAATGGCCAAACAGAAAAGAGTCAAGAAGCAAGAATTCAAAGAAATGAGGAGAGTCTTAGGAACCTCCAGGACATCTTTAAACGCTCCAATATCCGAATTATAGGGGTACCAGAAGGGGGAAAGGCACAACCACCAGTGGAAAACTTATTTGAACAAATAATAAAAGAAAATTTCCCCAATCTGGCAAAGGAAATAGACTTCCAGGAAATCCAAGAAGCTCAGAGAGTACCAAATAAGTTGGACTCAAGAAGAAACACACCAAGGCATATCATAATTACATTAGCCAAAATTAAAATGAAGGAGAGAATCCTAGAAGCAGCAAGAGCTAAGGGGACAATCACCTACAAAGGAGTCCCCATCAGACTGTCAGCAGATTTCTCAAAAGAGACCTTACAGGCAAGAAGGGGCTGGAAAGAAATATTCCAAGTCATGAAATCTAAAGACCTACAACCAAGATTGCTCTATCCAGCAAAACTTTCATTTAGAATGGAAGGACAGATAAGGTGCTTCTCAGATAAGATCAAATTCAAGGAGTTCATCATCACTAAGCCCTTATTATATGAAATCTTAAAGGGACTTATCTAAGAAAAAGAAGTTAAAGAAACATGAACAGTGAAAGAACAACAAGCTCACAATTATTAACAACCACACCTAAAACGAAAGCAAACTAAAAGGACAGCTAGATCAGGAGTGGAAACATAGAAAAGAAGATCTCAAGGAGGGTTAGCAACAGGGGAGTGGGAGGAGGAGATGGGGGGAGAAGGTACAGAAAATAAGTAGCATAGACAGTAGATAGAAAATAGATGGGGGGGGCAAGAATAGCATGGGAAATATAGAACCTAAAGGACTTGAGACACATGGACATAAACTAAAGGGGGGGTAATGGTGGGGAGGGGGGGCAGGGGGGAGGGGAATGAAGGGGGGAATAGAACAACTGTAACAGCATAATCAATTTAAAAAAATAAATTAAAAAAAAAAAAGAATTACTCCCAACTTCATAGCTTTAGCAGCTACAAAAGAAGTTGATAGCAGTTTTAGTGGGCAGTAAGAATCAGGATTTCCCTACTGGACCTACTATGTTTGAAGTGCCTATGATCTGCAAATGGAAATGTCAAGGTGGTAGTTGAATATACAAATCTAGAACTCAGGAGAGCAAAATAGAAAAATGGATCTCATAGAGAGAATGATACCACCCCCCCTCCACACGAAGATATGTGCACATCCTAATCTCCAGAACCTGTGAATGTGACCTTATTTGGAAAAGAGTATTTGAAAATATAAGAATCTCAAGATCTCTCCGCATCATCCAGGCAAGCCCTAAATTCAATGACAAGTACGCTAATGAGATAGAAAAGAAGACAACAGAAAAAGTGGAGCCTCTGTGAAGAGAAGGCAGAGATGGGAGTTATGCAGCCACAGGCCAAGGGACGCCTGGAGCCACCAGAAGCTGGAAGAGGAAAGGAAGGGTCCCCTAGAGCCACTGGAGGGAATGCGGCTGTGAGAACACCCCGGTTTTGGAATTCTGACCTCCAGAACTGTGAACGAATAAATTTGTGTTGTTTTCGGCCACCAAATGCATGGTACTTTATTTCAGTAGTAATTCTAGGAAACTAATACATACTCTCAATCTAAAGACCAAAAGAGCTATAAATAAATACAGAATTTTAGTTAATACATTTGTTCCTTTGTCACAGTGGTATGCATTAACAATTATGAAACTGCTGTCAGTATAAAGAAGAATTAAGCAACAAAGAAAATATGTTAATAATAAAGGGAGTCAAGCTCTTCACTGTTGGAAAAGAGTTATAAAGTGAAAAGAGGGTGCTCCCTGACTTCAATATACTACAAGGTGACAATAATCAAAAAAGCATGGTACTGGCAGAAAAATAGGCTCACAGACCAACGAAACAGAATTGAGAGCCCTGCATAAATTCACAGGTATATGGGCAAGTAATTTTCAACAAAGGAGCCAAAAACATACAATGGAGGAAAAAAAAACCTCTTCGGTAAATGGTGCTGGGAAAATTAAAAAGCCACATGCAATTGTTCCCATGTACAAAAATTAAGTCAAAATGGATCAAAGCCCTAAATATGAGATGGGAAACAATAAATTACATGGAAGCATAGGTACTAAATTTATGGACCTTGGTCTTAGAGAGGATTTAATGAATTTGATTCCAAGGCAAGGGAAGTAAAGGCAAAAGTAAATGAATGGGACTACTTCAAACTTAAAAGCTTCTGCACATCAAAAGAAACCGC